GCACTATACAAATACAGGCCATTTAGCACCTCAGAAATCCACCTGTTAAACCTAAAGACTATTTATTTCAATAATTGTGACCATTTCATCACTTCTGGCTTGGTGCATGTGTGTGCACATATACATGGACTTGCACACATGCACAAAAGCCATCTCTTTCAGGGTGTAGCCTGTGAATGAGGCTGCTGGCTTTGGAAATGTGCTGACGCTGCTTTAGAAAAGGCTGCGGTGGCCCAGTATGGTTTCTGAAAGGCAGGCCTAGACTCCAAACTAAACCGCGTCTCTCTGCGTTTTTCAGGCAAGACCACTGCTAGAACGTGACGCACTGCTCCCAGAGGTCTTTTAAGGGTGGCTGCTTAAAGCAATCCCAATATAAACCTTCATTAATTAATATGCATGGCCAACAACTTTCCAGTGCACTACTTTCCGATACCAATAACTGATCAATTCTCCATCCTCCCTCTCTCATCCCCTGCTACTTGTTATTTTAAATATAACTTTTTTTTTCTTTTGCATGTTTATGCAAAAGTTTATTTGGCTGAGAGCTGGTGCTCAAAATAATACGATCGTCATCGAAGTTAGTAAATCTTCAGTTTTCTAGTACACGGTCAATCAGTTGGTGCAGTATTGTCTGTTTCCTGTTCACTGCAATATTCATGTGCACAGCTGAATAGATGAAAGGTTTACAAAATAAAAAGGAAATGCCAGAACCGCTTAGTGTGGTGGACAGAAAAAGCTGAGTGTAGGCTCTGAGGAAGTTTCCCATTCACTGTAACAGGAAGGCATTGACTTGCTTTCTAGTATAAATCTTTGAAAGTGCTTAATGAAAGGAAATGTGAAGTAGAAGAGTGCATGCTAAAGGAGTTAGTTTCTTAAAATATCTTAGTGACTTATATTATGAGACCAGCTTCAAGTTGAACACAATGTTATCTCAAGAGAACAGGCATAAAGTAATATGGGCTGGTGTTCATATATTGCCTTACTGACCACTGAAAGCATTTTTGACTACAAGCCACATTTAACCACACATTTATGCAGTGCTTGATTCTAATTTTGTGCACTTCATGTCTGTCATGCTTGGCCAATTTAGAATTACCAAGTAAACTAACATTATCCTGGTAGTATGGTAGTAATTCTTAGATTTAAAGTCTCTCTGATTCTGACATGCAGCATGTCCAAAAAAATCACATCGCAGAACTAATATGCTAATGCAAAACTCCTGAAGTTCCTGAAGGCTCTGGATGTTGTAGGGCTGTCTTGGTTGACACGTCTCTACAATGTTGCGTGGAGATCAGGGGCAGTACCCCTGGACTGGCAAACTGGGGTGGTGGTCCCCATCTTTAAGAAAGGGGACCGGAGGGTGTGTTCCAACTACAGGGGAATCACACTCCTCAGCTTCCATGGGAAAGTCTATGCCAGGGTGCTGGAGAGGAGAGTCCATCCGTTAGTCGAACCTCGGATACAGGAGGAACAAGGCGGTTTTCGTCCTGGTCGTGGAACACTGGATCAGCTCTTTATCTTTTTGAGGATACTTGAGGCTGCATGGGAGTTTGCCCAACCAGTCTACATGTGTTTTGTGGACTTGGAGAAGGCATTCGACCGTGTCCCTCGGTACCGGTCTCAATTTATTGGTCGATCTACGCCAATACACTCACCTATGGTCACGAGCTGTGGGTAGTGACCGAAAGAACGAGATCTCGAATACAAGCGGCGGAAATGGGCTTCCTCCAAAG